GAGGTGGCAGTGGCAGGTGGCCGTTGAAGTGCAGCTGTCAAGCGTCAGATCCTAAGTCAGTCAGGCACGCCGCCTTAGGATACGGACTCCTTTGGTGTCAGGTACGGTTGTTCAGTTCGGCAGCCTAGAGACGAAGTACCGGAGTGGTGTGCGAGGTGAAGTCTTGAGTTCGGATAGAAGTGTGGCCTGAACTGCCCTGGGGCGGGCCAGTTCGAGTTGCTGCCCTTTGCACTCCTCGTAAGGCTCAGGGTCAAAGGGAGAGTTCGGGCTCCTTTTGGGGAGCTCGGACCGCTGGTTCCTCTTCTCGGAGCTCGCGCCTTGAGCGCACTACCGTGCCGAGCTGTCACTCCTACGAAGTCACCCTCGGTTGCTTCCACGTGTTGGGTGGCCAAGAGGTCGGGCCAAATCTTCCTCCATCAATTGCCCCCCACTCCTCGCACTAAGGGTCTTGCCCTAGTGCGGGGAGTTCGCGAGGTAATGGGTGGATTTGACCCGTACTTCAAACCGGTTGATTGATGGCATGAAGTGTGCGTACGCCAGGAGATTTCTGGATTCATCAAGCGCCAAAAAGTCTGAAAACGTGCCAATCCGTCTTTAAATGTTGGGAAACGTGACGGCGGGCGTTATTTCAAATTCAAAAAACGCGTCACTGCCGCCTTCAATGCTGGGAGACGTGCGTCGGCGCCGCTTCGGTTTCCAAAGATGTGCGGTCAGTCACGTCTCGGTCTTAGGAGGCGTGCGGTCAGCTTGATCGTGAGCCGTTGGATTTGCCTCGATCAGAGCCGTTAGTTTTTGGTAACTATGAGTATAAATAGTGGGGGACACCCAATCGCTTTCCATCGCCATTCTCCTGCATTCGCTTCTTGAGCTCGCGTCCAAGTTTTAGCTCGCGTCAACCTTCCGTAGTCCGTTAGCTTTTTCCAGGTGAGTCAGTACTTTTCTTCCTGGTTTTCCTTTCCTCCCGATGTCTAGCTCGGACAGCTTAGACAGCTTCTTGAGGGGGTCAGATGCAGGTTCCACGAACCGAGCTACAGCCCCCAACAGCCTTAGTGAGCCCGAGGTAGAGCTCAAGGGAGAGCTCGATGAAGAGTTCGAACCCGTAGGCCGAGTCACCTCGGGTAGTTTGGCGTCCTCCTCCCGTCGAGGTCGAACGTTAGACAAGTTCAGGTCATAGAGGTTCCTGGACGGAAGCGTCGATCTGTAGTGTCCGAGCTGGGTCCGCAGCTGAAGTTGGGATCGCGATCGTTTCTTCTGCAGGCGCAACTCGTGCTTCGCCTTGCTCCGTAGGCCGCTCCAGTTTGAGGTCGTCGGCCACCTTGGTTTTTCCCTTTAGGGTGGAGACATAGCACTTGCGGGACTCGAGTTGATCGCCCCGCGCTACTCCCACACCGAAGTCTGTAGGAAACTTCATTGCCAAGTAGTAGGTGGAGACCACTACTCGTAGGACGTGAGTGATTGGCCGCCCTATTATGGCATTGTATGGGGAGGGGGTCGTGACCACCAGGAAATCGTGGTTGAGCCTGACCACACAAGGCCATGTGCCGACTTCCACAGGTACTGTCACCTTCCCGAGGGGCCTGACTTCCTCTCCGCTGAAGCCCACCAGAGGAGTGTTTGCGGGCTTCAACTCACTTCCCCGTAACTGAAGCTGGTCAAATGCCAACTTGAAGAGAATGTTCGCCGAGCTGCCTGAATCAACAAGCACGCGCCTGACTTCGAAGTCATTGATCCTTAGTTTTATGACAAGCGCATCATCGTGGGGGTAGTGGACCCCTCGCGCATCGTCTTCCGTGAAGAAAATCGGTTCCTCCATCTTCGACCTCTTCGGAGGGTTCTGCTCTTCTCGGGCAGCTTCACGAACTGACGCTCGGGCCGCTGCCGAAGTACAACCCGCTACTACCGAACCTCCCACTATCACGTGGATGGTTCCCCGAACTGGCCTCTCTTCCGGAGGCTGTCTTTGCGACTGTTCGG